AGACCAGTCAGCCTAACTTCAATACCTGGAAAGATACGAGAACAAATTATTAAACAATTAATGTGTAAGCGCCTAGATTATAATAAAGTTAAAAGTAATAGCCAACATGATTTGTCAAGAACAAATCATGCTAAACCACGCTAATTTCCTTCTTTAACAAGATTATTGGCCTGGTGGATGGGAGGAAGCTGTAGACAAGATATATCTTGATTTTAATAAAGCTGTTGATACAGTCCCAATTGACATTCTCATAAGCAAACTAAGGAAACGTATTCTAGATGAAATTACTGTAAGGTGGATGCACAACTGTTGGAAAGCTAATACTCAAAGAGTAGTTATTAATGGTTTGCTGTCAAATTGGGAGGACATATCAAGTGGGGGTCCTGCAGGGTCTGATACTGTCTGATACTATTTATAAGGCCCTATCTGAATTGCAGGATGGTTGTCAAAGAAATGATGCCGAGTTGCGAATAAGACATGGAAAATCATTGAAAAGTAATAAATGACCTTTATTAATTGCCATAATTTGGAAAAGCCAAAGAAGACCTATTTGTTTATGAAAAATTTGCTGGAACAATATAAACACTCAAGGATTATGTTATGACTGCCCTTTTTTTAAAAGAAAAAATAACCAGACATTTTGCTGCAATGATATTACAGTCATTAATGCACAGGGCTGACAGCTGCTATCAGCTTGGATAAATGGGGTTCTACTGTACTAATGGGGAAAAAAGTGTGTTGCAAACCACAAAATGTATGCAAAATTGGGGACTGTGCAAAGTAAGCTAATTAAAATCAAAACTGCAGTGGAAGCCTAATATTGTGGGAATCACAATTTCCACAATATCGCAAATTAAGTAGGACCTTACCTATTTAATATTTTCATTAAAGACATGGAAATGGTATGGAGAGTAAGCTTATAAAATTTGTGAATGATGCCAAACTGGGAGGATTTGCAAGCACTTTGGTCAACAGGATTAGAATTCAAAACAACCTTGACAAAATTGTAGAACTGGTCTAAAATCAACAAAATGAAATTCAGTAAAGACAAGTACAAAGTTCTACACTTCGGAAGGAAACAAAAATCAAATACACAACTATACAAAGTGGAGAATAACTGGCTAGGCAGTAATACTTCTGCAAAGGATCTGGGGGTTACAGTGGATCACAATCTGAAGGAGTCACTCTGGGGTATATTAACAAAGGTGTTGTAGGTGCTCTCGACTCGGCATTGCAAGGCCTCAGTTGGAGTACTGTGTCCAGTTTTGCGCACTGCACTTTAAGAAAGCAGTGGACAAATTGGAGATAGTTCAGAGGAGAGCAACAAAAGTTATAAATAGTTTAGAAAACTTGATCTATGAGGAAAGGTTTAAAAAACCTGGACACGTTTAATTTTGAGAAAATACTGAGGGGGGAAACCTATAAAAGTCTTCAAATACACTTAGGGCTCATAAAAGAGCATGGTGATCAATTGCTCTCCATGTCCACTGAAGGGGACAAGAAGTCCCTTGATCGTCAGCAAGGGAGATTTCCATTAGAGATCAGGAAAAACTTTCTATCAGAACAGCTAATTTCTAGAACAGGTTTCCAAGGGAGGTTGTGGAATCCCCACCATTGGAGGTTATTAATAACAGCTTGGACCAGTGGTCCCCAACTTTTTTCATCTGGTGGGTGCCAGATGACGAGCCACCACAGACCGTGGCTGGCGGACGAGCATCCGCTGAAATGCCACCAAGAAGCGGCAACATCAATAGGCGTCACCGCCGAAATGCCGCCGACAAGCAGCGTCATCCAGAGGTGTCACCGCTGAAATGCCGCCGAAAATCGGCATTTGTCGGCAGCATTTTGGCGGATGCTCGTCTCCGGCCAGTACGCGGGCGCACATAGATGCCATGGCGCCCGCGGGCACCACGTTGGGGACCACTGGCTTAGACAAACACCTCTTAGGGATGGTCTAGGAGGTATACTTGGTGCTGCCTCAGTGCAGGGGGCTGGACTAGATGACCTCTCAAGGTCCCCTCTGGGCCTACATTTCTATGATTCCATAATAATAAAGAGTAATTAAAAAGTTAAATTTAGTCATACTTTATTGGTAGTCAATACATCCCCTTTTAGGGATCCCACCATAACACATGAAGCCTGTGAGCCACGAGGTCTTTGCAGCAGCATATCCTAACACATAATATTTGTTCTGTTTTGACATCTGTTTCAGTGTCTGACAATGGGAGCAAACATCCTTTTGTTCACTTTTAATCATTTAGAGTGAGACTTTCAAGAGCTCTCTGAGTTGGGCTAACAGCTCCCACTCAAGTCATTGAGAGTTTTACTATCAACTTCATAGCAGCAGCATTAAGCAAACATTGGGTGCTTTTGAAAATATCCACCTTTTTCCCTTTCCCCCCACCACCACTGATTAACCTCTTGTTTACTACCTCCCATTATTCCTTTTTCATTTTCCTGATGAAAGTTTTAAGGTGTTGTTTTGGTTACAAATATTTTGCTAGCTTTGAGAACATTTTAATTGTATTTTTGAGTACCCCAAGCATGTGAAAGTGCTTGGCAAGGGAGGGAGCTAGAAGATTACTTATGAATAAAATTATTCTGTATGTTTAATAGTGCCATGGAAACTAATCATGATTTTTAGCATTACTGATGATCTTTTTATGAAATACAAAATGTAAATTGGTCTAGCAAAAGGCCCACAAAGGCATCAACTTAAGTTTCAGTACTTTGGAGACCCAGATTTCTGACTAGTTACCAAGGATCTCATAACTCAGGGGTTCTCAACCTTTTTCTTTCTGAGGCACCCCCCAACATGCTATAAAAATTCTGTGGCCCATCTGTGCCACAACAACTGTTTTTCTGCATATCCAGTAGATTAGAAGACAAAGCTGGTGTTAGGGGGTAACAAGCAGGGCAACTGCCTGGGACCCTAAGCCACAGGGTGCCCCATGAAACTAAGTTGCTTGGGCTTCAGCTTCAGCCCCACACAGCGGGCTCGGGCTTCAGCTTTCTGCCCTGGTCCCCAGCAAGTCTAATGCCAACCTTGCTTTCTAGTTTATTTTGGAGGACCCCCTAAAACCTGCTTGTGGCCCCCCAGGAGCCTCTGGCCCACTGGTTGAGAAACTCTTGTCATAACCAACTAAATAATGCCCAGAACAGAAAAAGCACATGGCTAACTGCCTTCCCCATTTTCTTTGTAGACTTCATGATAGCAACAAAACAGTCCACACAATTTCTGTGGGATTATCACACTTCTTGGGTTTGGCCTGCTGTTTTACCACACCTCTTGAGGCACGCTATCATCACCCAGAAATGCAGAATCTAGCATGCCTTATTTCTTAAGGGTATCATGTAGGGATGGTATTAACAACCAAGAAAGGTGCTCAACATTGCCTAAAATGATTATGCAAATGTAATTCCTACCATATGTAGTTTATTAAATTATAGTTTGCTTATGCTGACAAGTTACTAATTGACTAATCACGTTTCAGACAGTCACATTTTGCGTTATTCAAAATTAAGTCCATAAGAGCAATGTAGTTGGTTGTGACACTGTTTGGCTTAGCAAATAAGCCTGTATATTGAAGAGCTGGGTGAATTCTATTAAACCTTGAGCTTTATTGTCAACCCTATTGTTCCAAAAACATGAGTCAGACCCCCAAAATAAAAAAAATGTGAAGGGTTCTTTTTATTCGCCTTCTAGTTTTCAAGCTTTTACAGCATACTCTGGTCATCTGTTCAAACTTCCGAAATTACGTGTTTTTTTTTACATGAAAGCTAAGATTCTCATGTATTCACATGACTCCAGGAGCTGGGGCTTTAAGAAAACTACCAAATATCTCAGGAGTTGGCAAAACTACTTATGACACCACTCTCACTACTAATGCAGCAATAACAAACAAGATGAAAAGTCATCATAAGAGACAGGTTACCAATCTACAAACATGAGGTCTGAGCAAAGCCCATTGAAGTCAATGGGAATATTTCCATTGGCTTCAATGGGAGTTGGGATCTGGCCCATGGTAAAAAATAATAAACTTAAAACAGTAAAGGAAGGGGAAGGGAGAGAGGAGAAGACTCATAGCAGGTAGAAGAACACAGTAGTTTAGCTGAATATTTCAAAAGGAAGGCATTCTCTAAATACCTCATCAACAGAATTTGTTTCTAATTTCCATTTGGTTCAAATTATAACCCTTCAAGTAAACTCAGTTCTACAAAAATCTTCTGAAGTACCTCACAACACACCCTTAATGTTGCTACAGGACGTCCTGGTCTACACTGGGAATTTATATTGGTATAGCTACATCGCTCAAGGCTGTGAAAAATCCACAGCCCCGAGAGAGGTAACTATACCGACTTAACCCCGTTGTAGACAGTGCTATGTCAACAGAAGAATTCTTCTGTGGACCTAACTACCGTCTCTCGGGGAGCTGGACTGCCTATGCCGATGGGAGACCAACTCCTGTTGGCATAGGTAGCATCTACGCTTAAGCACTACAGCTGCCTGCTGTAGCATTTTAAGTGTAGACATACCCTGAAGCTAAATATATTGCCCAAAACCTCATTTTCTCCTGGAATGCATATCTAATAAATCTTTGCATGTATATAGTTCTTTTCATTCATAGGTCACAAAGCGTTTCAGTCATTTGTGTAATTTCTAGAGCTGAAGTTGCTGACCAATATATAAAGCATATCTTAATATATTTAGTAAATGATAATGAAAACCACTGCACATTTATAAGAGTTCAACAGAAAAAAATGCATTCTCTTGGACTTGAGAATGTATTAAATGCTCAGAACCTGGGAACAGGTAGTTTTTTATTCATTGCAAAGTCTGGGCCCTTCACCTATAAAACACCACACACACTTGTACTGCTATCTAAATAAAATCCATCAATCCCCCTGCCCCCACCAAAAAAAAATGTGGGCGAGAGAAACCACCAAACTCTCAGAACGGCAAAGATACAACACCATCACAAAACAACACTCAACAGTACCTGGCACACTTTTGGTGTAACTGGACATCAGCAACTTGTTCTATATAAATTATAAAAACATTTTCAAAGTTGTTTACAAACATGAATATAAATAGGGCATAGTAAAACATTTAGTAAGCGATAAGTGTAAACCCCAGGGAAATTGATAAGAGGAGAGAAACAGGATGCAGACCACCAGGCTGAGGAGTTATGTGTACCCATACTCCCCAAAGTGGTCACCTGTTCTGGGTGCCTGAGTTATTAGGGTGCTTTGAACCTGAATTTCAGACTTGTTGAGAATCTACAGCTGCCACCGAGGTCAAGTGGAGTTGTGGGTGCTCAGCACCTCTGAAATTCAGGCCCGAAGTACCCCAGATTGGACATCCGAAACACTCAGGCACCTGCAACAGGTGGCCAATTCGGGGGGGGGGGGGGGGGGGAAGCTTGGTTTTAGCATCTGGTCCCAGGGAACAGATAACGTTACAAGGAAAGGAGCTGCAGAGGCTTTCCCCAGACCTGGGGTGCTAGGGTGACCAGATGTCCCGATTTTATAGGGACAGTCCTGATATTTGGGGCTTTTTCTTATATAGGCTCCTATTACCCCCCCCCCCATCCCCGTCCCGATTTTTCACACTTGCTGTCTGGTCACCCTAGGGTGCAAGTGGCACAGCGCTGGGTGGAATCTAGCCCAGGCGCTGGGAGACGTATTACCATGCTAACAGAGGCCAAGGCACATTAGCAGACATTCCTGCAACAGGGTGCAAGACTCAGGAACACACATAACCCTCCCCTTCTCTCCCCCCCTCAACCCCCCCAAAAAAAGATTACTAGGCAGCCAGGCAATACATCCCTGGGGTCAATACCTCCACGGCCCCATGAACTCCCTGCTAAGTTAGGCAATAGCAACACGCTGTTCGCTCGCCCTTGCTGGTGACTCACTCAAAGGCTCAGACACACGGGGCTGGACGCAGAGGTGTGCAAGGAAGGAAGGCGCAGCCTGGCCTGGTGGTGGCCAATTAACCCCAGTGGGCTGATGTCCAGAGACAGAGGGACGGTTGGACAGGGGGAGAGGGGAGCTGCGCCGTCCTCCTTCCCCTACCACCAGACACGGAGAGAGGAACCGAGGCCTCTCAGCGGCCGCTCGGCTCTAGGTGACTAACCGACCAGGGGGAAAATGGCGCCGCCCGCCGGGGGAGGGGCCGGTTCCGCCACACATCGGCTGCGGAGCACCCGCGCCTCCATCTTCTGTGTGGCGGCTCGCGCCGCTTCTCCCTGGGCGGCCGGCGGCGGTTGGAGCCCCGCGTGAGGGAGGGGGGTGGAGCAGGGGCGGGCCGCGCTGTGCCCAGCCCTGGCTCGGCCGCTGCTCCCGCTTCCCTCAGAAAGGGGTTTCCCCCTGCGCGGCGGCGCGGTAGAGCAGCCCGTAGGGGAGAGGAGAGCTGGGGAATCCCCCAGAGGAGGCCCCTGCTTGTAGGAGACCCCCGTGTAGGGGCTCGGATATCCCCCGCCGGTTTCAGAAGAGACCCTGGAGCCATCAGGAGGTGCTTCTACAGGCATCTCTACGGTCCCCTCTCGGCACCTGGCTAGGAAGTGCCATATGTTGCATTTACATTAGAAATGAAAAGGGCATCGAGCTAACACGCTGTGCCCCTTGCCATAAAGTCAGATGCTTATAAGATTTCTCTTCCACCCCCAGCAGACAGGAGAGGCCCTCTAGCAGCCAGGCACTGCTGCAGATCATGTGTCTGAGGCTTAGACCCGATAGCCGTGGTTTTCAACCTGTGGGGGCGTCTAACTGGGAGCTCTAAAAGGTTGTTACCATAGAACAGTGGTTTTCAATTTGTGATTTGCGGACCCCTGCGGCCGCAGACTATGTCTAAGATTTCCAGAGGGGTCTGCACCTTCATTTGAAATGTTTTAGGGGTCCGCAAATGAAAAAAGGTTAAAACCCACTGCCCTGTAGCAACCAGGCACTACTGCAGGTCATGTATCTAAGGCCTAGACCCTTTAGTAGCTAGGCACTACTACAGGTGGTGTATCTGAGGCTTAGACACTACAGGAACCAGGCTGTACTGAAGGTAGTATATGTCAGGCTTTAAGGAAGGGTCCCAGTGACTATGAGACAAAAATTAACCTAAAAATAATAAGTACCCAGGGGTGTGCAAAGGGTTGCCAAAGACACATAGCTCCATCTCAAAGTGATGCTTCACCTATGAGGGTTTGATGCAAGATCCTCGCTTCTGGGCAAGTTTAAATGTCCCAAAAAGTGGGTTTTCTGATGAGTCTCGCAGGAAAACTGTTCCACAGCTTAATAGCTATCCCCGTCAGGAAGGTTTTGGGGGATATTAAGCTAAGGTCTGGTTTGTACATGGATTTTGTACCAGTATAACTATTTTGGTTGGAGGTGTGATACACCAGTAAAACATAAAACCCCTAGTTTGGACACTGTTATTCTGGCATAAAGATGACATACCGATATACCTTATTCCCCTTCCTGTATGGGAATAAACTATAGTGGTATAAGCCCACTTATACTGGTATAAACACAGCCATACTATGGAATTGTACTATTTTATACTAATACAGTTGAAGCGATACAACTTCTGTGTGCAGCCAAGTCCTAAATTTTCCCTCTAATTTCATCCCATGACTCCTAATTATACCCTCTTATTAAACCCTAAACAAACCCTAAACTCTGTCCTTGACATCTGCTTGTTTCAAATACTTGCATACTGCATCATGACCATTGCCTCTCCCAGGTGTCAATTAGCAAGATATATATATTTAGATATACATATTTTAACCTTTCCTCATAATTCCATTCTTCTGTCCTCTGCACCTCCAAATAATTTGTGTTGCTTTTCTGTGAATTTCCTCCAGTGTCTCAACAACTTTCTAGCACAGGGAACAGGTCCCTAAAAGGGAAGCTTATTTTGTTACAGACTACTAGAATCAGAATTACTTGGAAGCTGCCTACCTACTATCCCAAATAATATGTGATTTGTGACACTGCTACTGACATGGCTAAGTGGCTACGTGCACGGGGTTATTCCTGTCACTCCACAATCCTATGCAGAGTCTGTAAAATATAATTAACAAAGATAACCAGAAAATATAAAATAAGAAAGTACATTATGTTTGTGATTTTTTTTTTTTTTAGGATGTGTAAAAAAGGCATGAAATGTTTTTTAAAGGCTTGTTTGGGATTGTGATTTCCCAAGATTGTTAATCAAACAGTCTCTCCCTATAGATATAGATATAATTTTTCTTTTGTCATCACCCATTTAACTAAAACTCTTGTACAGTTGGCAATCATGTAAAAATTTTACCAGGAACAATTGTCCTCAGAAACCAGTCTGGTGGCTGCACAACTGTATGTGCATTATAGTAGATTTTAGGTTATTATTTTCTTTGAAGGGGGTGGAGCTAGCATTCAGCAAATTAATCGTTAAAGGGCCGCCTGAATCCTGACTTATTAGAAATTAATCTTGAAGAAACTTTTCATCTTTTTTCCATAGCTCCCTCATGCTCCCCCCATCCTGTTCCCTTCTGCCAACAATGGCATGCCCCAAAGGCACCCTCTCTTCCTGCTCCCTCCTATCAATACCCTATCAGCCCCTTCTGTTTGCCTCCTTCCTATGTTTTTCCCTCCTTCTGTCCCATTTCTACCTCCTTCTCACACATCTTGGGGAGACTGGAAGATATTACCACTCACAGCTAGCTAGCCAGCTGAGTGATCTCAACATCTCTTCCTTTCTGCTGGTGCCTACAATTGTATAGGAAGAGTTGAGAGTAGCCCAAGCACTGACAGTACCAGAGTAGCAAAAGGCCAGCATTGCTGGTGGTGGTGGTTTTTAGAGCAACAGAGTTACAGCAGAGAAGCTGAGACACTGACTGGGACTGTTCCCTCCCATGATAGATTTACAAATACCTAAACAGCCCCTGACAAATCATTTTTGTCAAGTATTCTCCTGAAAAAGAAAAACAAATCTGTCAAATTGAAAAAGATTTAGCAGTCTTCCCCAATTCTTGCCTTCCATCGGAAGCTTTTACTTCAGTTCTGTAGTCCTCAGTTGAGTACTGTGGAAAATATACAGGGAAGGCAAGGATTAATATTCCTGATAATTCTAATATATAAATCAAGCAAAATATATTGGAATGAATGAGCATGCCCATTGACAACTACATGTTTCCAGAAGCCTGAGCAGTCTCAGTGTCACTTGAGTGCTTGTGCAGTTAAAAGTACTATGCTTGCTGTTGGACAAGTCTCTTGAGTTCTTACTAAACTTCATAGGGACTTAAAATAATTTCAGGCTTTCTTTATGCATCACGAAGAACCAAAAAAGGGCACAAACATCGTTTCCCTTGGCAAGTCACCTTTAAGATACATAAGTCATTATGAAATGTCTCGTTGCTTTCACAAACTGGAGTCTGCTGAAACCATAACACATACAACGTTTTACTTTTGAATAAGCCTGATTTTCTCTGTCATTTGTTTTCACTTTTATTGGTCTGCAGAACATAAGTAAGAAAAAGATTTTATTTTCCCCTACATAGCATATAATTTACATCAGTCATCCCAGAAGGTCAGTACCACTGGGGTGTCATTTAAGCACAATGAATATGAAGTAATGAAGTTCTTGCCAGAGTGGATGGACATAACTTCTTAGAGAAAGAGAGAGTTTCCAAAGCATGTGGGGAAAACACAACGGGAGACCGAGTGAATTCATCACACCACAAAAATGTCTCCATCCTGTCGACAAAGTCATTAAAGGAAAATGAACAATTGTTGCTCTAGACGTTTGCATTCCTTTGGCACAGTAATTTCAGTACAGAAGCACTGGTGCAAGGAGATTTTGCACACATTGGAGAAAAAAATCTTTTAAAAAAGATTGTGTCCAGAATATGTAATAAAAGAAATCCTCCATGTTCCAAAGAGGAGCCAAAATCTCTACAGAAGCCACAACTAATAAAGAACCATCTGCAGTAGGACAGAGTGGTCTCTTTTCCTCCTGCCAACAAGCCTAACCGAATGGCAACATGGACAATTCTTTTCGAATGACCTACAAATGATGTCCTCCTTTAATTATACCAATGTTTCTACCTTTTGCCGAACCATGATGGCCTTCGTTTTAAAGACGCCTTATTGAGGGGTTCTTCTCCTCCCCCCTCCTTTTTTGTAACTTACTTTGTTTGCTTTCACTAATGCTTTACAGTCTCCATAGAAACAATCTGGGAGGAATGTGGGGATTAGAGAGGTTTGCTGTATTCAATTTTATTTAATTTTCTGGCAAAGGGTGTCCAAATTATAGAAAAATGTCACATGTGTTTGTAGTCAATTGTAACATATATCAGTTTCAGGTGCTAGGTTTTACTTTTAAATACAGATTTTTCTCATCATAGGAACACTACTTTAAAGTAAGAATGGCCAACATGCAGTGTATAATATCAAAGGTAGTTCTAGAAAGCTGCAGCAGAATTGTTCATGTATGTGTCCCTTTATACATCAGCAGTTCCACAGTAAGGTAGAGTCCTCTGAATTGACAGACTGGTGGAAAGACAAACATGCAAACTAAGAATATCTTATTGCCCTTATATAAATCCATGGTACGCCCACATCTTGAATACTGCGTACAGATGTGGTCTCCTCATCTCAAAAAAGATATACTAGCATTAGAAAAGGTTCAGAGAAGGGCAACTAAAATTATTAGGGGGTTGGAATGGGTCCCATAAGAGGAAAGATTAAAAGGCTAGGACTTTTCAGCTTGGAAAAAAGGAGACGAAGGGGGGATATGATAGAGGTATATAAAAACATGAGTGGTGAGGAGAAAGGGAATAAGGAAAAGTTATTTACTTGTTCCCATAATATAAGAACTAGGGGCCACCAAATGAAATTAATGGGCAGCAGGTTTAAAACAAATAAAAGGAAGTTCTTCTTCACACAGCGCACAGTCAACCTGTGGAACTCCTTGCCTGAGGAGGTTGTGAAGGCTAGGACTATAACAGGGTTTAAAAGAGAACTAGATAAATTCATGGAGGTTAAGTCCATTAATGGCTATTAGCCAGGATGGGTAAGGAATGGTGTTCCTAGCCTCTGTTTGTCAGAGGGTGGAGATGGATGGCAGGAGAGAGATCACTTGATCATTACCTGTTAGGTTCACTCCCTCTGGGACACCTGGCATTGGTCACTGTCGGTAGACAGGATACTGGGCTGGATGGACCTTTGGTCTGACCCAGTATGGCCATTCTTGTGTTTTTAAGCCATCATCTTGATTATCAAAGCCTCA